CCACGCTAGACGTCCGCCGTCGTCACTCATTCGGGGATCTGGGCAGAGCACTCTAAGGTTCCGTGGACCAGTTTGCTTCTTCAAGATTAAGGTGGCACCTGGCTAAGGACTGAGACATGCGGCTGCAGTGCTCCTGCCAGACCATGTAGAGGCAGAGCGCCCCCTTCACCTGCCTGGCAGTTTTAAAATTGCGAAGTCAAGATGACCGTGCCCAGCAAAGAAAAACAAAAAAACAAAAAACAAAAACTAGCGGTTGCAGGTTTGTGGTGTGCACACAGGGGACGATAGCTAACCATGAGCTGGGGAGGCGGGTGGGAACCAGACAAGAGGGGCCTTCCTGGGGTTTTCGTTTTGGCCTTCTGGTCTCTGGGCAGTATGGGAGGTGGCCTTTCTGAGTCCCAACCCCGTGTGCACGGCTCTCTTCCAGGATTTAAGAGGGGAGCTTGTTGAACCTGGCTGCCTGGCTTCAGGCACAAGAGGAGTCGGGGTGTCTAAGTGTCAGTAGGTTGGAGGGTGGACAGTGTCTACGTGCCTCAACCAACCAACCGGCAGAGCCTTTCCATACTGGGTGTTCTGCGTATATTTCAGTTTTGACCCCCTTCCATCAACAACATTGTGTGTGTGAGAGAGAGAGACAGAGAGACAGAGAGAGACAGAGAAAGACAGAGACAATTATATCTCACACAGTATACAGAGTACCCAGCATAGCACCCTGAACTTGGTGTGGAGCGGCCCAGGACCTCTGTTCTTGAAAATTGAAATGACTCTATTAATTGAATGCAATAACAAGCTGCTTAGATGATTGGAAGTCCCGTCGGCAGTTCTCTCCTGCTGTTCTCTTTAGGACCCTTGTCTTCTGTTGCGTGCCCTCTGATGGCCTTTCTCAGGGGACAGCCCTGTGGGCTTCTGGGGAGGCTAGGGGAGAGAACCCCAGGATAGAGACCGCTGCATTCACCGAAGACTAGCCACTGTGGAATACTTTCCATGTGGTCTGCTTCATGATGGCGTAGAAAAGCAAGGGCTGGAAGAAAGCGGGCCCTGGGAGAGTGTGTGCGTGGTGTGTGTGGTGTGTGGTGTGTGTGTGTGTGTGTGTGTGTGTGTGTGTGTGTGTGTTTAAATGGAGATCAAACAAGTCTCCTCTGCAGGCCTGTGGGGACACCTGGAGGATGTGGTCCACGCTGCATCAACACAGAAGCAAAGGTCTGTGGAAGTGCCTGACCATTCAAGAAACTGCAAGAGATCCTGGGTCTGAGCAGAGAGGTGTGGCATGATCTGACTTAAGTTGTCATGGGCTCCTGTTGGTCACCTCACAAAACAGTAGCACCAAGTGGAGACCCAGCATCCAAAACAGGAGCCTGTGGGTGCCCTTCCAAGCGGGAACAGTAACATTTGCAATGGATATTTAAATCTTAGGAGCAAATTGAAAGCAACAAAAAGAGACACAGGAGGTAAAGACCATGATCCAAGAAAGCTGGGCAGGGCTGGGAAGATGGTGGAGGCCAAGGCCAGGCTGCAGGGAGCGTGTTGAATGGAAGGTTCACAGTGTCTCACTACCATACCCTCCTGACCCAGAGTGGGCCTTGCCCGTGTTTACCTGGTGAGTGTGTAATCATGAATGCATTGGTTACTTTTGCTACACATTGAACAATATGCCTGTCAGGACGACCAAGGGGGCCCAGGGAGCTCGCTGGGGGTTACAGTGAAATGGAGGGGAACCGTGAAACTAGAGTTCAGATTCCCAGAATCCTTATAAATTCACTATAGGTGTGGTGGCCTACCTGGTGGTCCAGCTTTCGGAGGCAGAGACGGGGTAGGGTGGGGGTGTCCCCAGAGCAAGCAGGCTAGTGAGACCAGCCTCAGGCCTTCACATGCACCCACACGGGTGCCCCCACACGTGCAAACATACATAAACACACACGCATGCACACCGCAAACACAGACCAGAAAATGGAATAAGGAAAGGAGGGAAAAGTAAGGGAGAAAATCCTTGCTTTGGTCTCTGAGCCTCAGCCGTTCCTGTCAGTCCTGCCACGGAAGACGCAGAACAGTTTGTGCAGCAGACTGTTCATTCACTGCCCACCTACTGGACAGTACGCAGAGAACCACCCGAACTTAGGGCGGGGTGGGACACAGCTTTCCAAGGCCTGGCCCTAGAGACTCAGTCCCCCCAGGGTGACCCTACCTTCTAAAAGTTTCATAGCGTCTCAACATAGCGCCACCTACTGGGAAAATCACTCAGAACAGGAGCCCATGGGGACCATTTCCAATGGTTAACATATCTGCAAAAATGAGATGTTTAAGACACAAATGGGTTAAGACCATTGTCTCTTTTCAACTCATCATTCCTTAGCCCCCTAGAGCCAATCTGTGTTGAGGTGACTGCAAGAATTTGCGGGACCCCAGACAAGGAAGGCTTAGCCAGGGAAGCACATACATGGAGACCTACATAAGTGATTTACAGACACTTTTGTACAGAGACAGGTTTTTTTTCTGCATGACCTCCAGGAATATTTCCACTGTCCTCTGTGTTGAACTGTGCAACAGCATATGTTCTACTGAGATAAAAACACCTCCCACACATCCCAGCACCAGAATCATGTGGGTGGTGGAGGGGAAGTCAGATTTGCACCAAACGCCCCAAGCATGCAGCCTGAAAATTCTGTGTCATCAAACAGAAAATGGTAAGCATCAGAGTCCCTTCTTGTTTATAACTCTTCAAAACAAAGCTTGCTCTTTCGGGACTTTAATACAAACAGCACACATGAATGTAAAGTACCTCCTGGCCTTTTTGTGTGTTTCTTGTTAACATGTGTGACACTTTCCACAAAGCTTGAATATAGCTTAACTGTTTTTTAATTACTATTTTAAGTGTATGAGTGTTTTGCCTGCATGTATGTCTGTGAATGGTGCCTGTGGAGCCCAGAACAGCTCCATCTGAACCTGGAGTTACAGATGGTTGTGAGCCACCATGTGGGTGCTGGGAATCAAACCTGCCCCTCTGGGAAACCAGCCGGTGCTCTTGACTGCCTAGTCATCTCTCAAGCCCCTTGAGTATGGCATTTTAACTGTTACTTGGAAATACACTAGAATATTTCAGTAAACAAGTTAACAGAGGTAGACTCCTGACTTGTCGTCCATTTGTGAGGGAGATGGCACGCGTCCCTCTAAATTGTTTACATGGGAAAGAACTGGAAAAAAATTAAAATGCGTGAAACCAAGGGAACGCAGAGAAGGGTAACTTCAGGGAACTATAATCAGTAGAAATGTCATACCCATAGGCCAGTTTTGAGAAATCTCAGGTTATGCAAGAGACAACAGCTCATGTAGAGAAGATCAATGCTGATTGGACTGTTGGATGGGCCTGACACGAGGAAGAGTGGGCTGCAAAACAAAAGCACTTACAGCCCCTGCTGTTACCTGCAACCCTCACAGGAGTGAGGACAACACCCAGCTTGTAAGCCACTGTCCCAGGGACACCAATGACTAATTAACTAAACATCAGTTCTAAGAATTTCAACATGAACCACAGGAAAAGAAACCATGAAATATCCTGAAAATTACAGCTTAGGTATTTCAAAAAAAAAAAAAAATTAACAGGGACTTTTCCAAGTCTGCCAACTCTTAAAAGTTACATGATGTTACCCCGCCCCCACATGACATTACCCCGGAGTGACATTACCCCCCAATGTAAGGATTCAGGCATTATGCTGGCCTGCCCCTGTCACCTGGCAGAATGTACTCAGGCAGTACCCTGGTCAGCCCAGAGTTCCATGATTGCTTAGTCTGCAACGCAGGTGCAAAGGACCCCTTTAAAAGAAAGCCCCCACCCCTCCCCACTTCTGTTCTCTTTTCCTCTCTCTTTCCTGATGTTCCCCTGGGGCAGACAGGACTTATCCTGTCTCCCTCTTTTCTTCTATCCTCTCTGTGTCTCTTTACCTCTTTTTTTCTTTCCTTTCCCCGTTTCCCTTTCTAATAAAACTTCCCACTAAGCTCTGTCTGCCTGGCGTGTTTGTCACCTGCCTCGGTCACGCTCACCTGACATGGAATCCATAAAGTTTCCACACATATTATCATAACACCCTACACATGACATGACACACACACCTTATGGGGCATAAAAAATTAGCTGGATATTTCTTAAATTATCATGCAATTACATGGGCTGAATTATCTTTTTAGTCTCTGTGGAATAAGGCATTATAGAGCCATTGTATGAAGAAACAAAGCAACTAGTTAGAAATGGATAAGGAGTAATCATCTCAGAAATACCAGAAAGTTATTAAATACACAGAGTTTTCTAGACTTTAGGGATTTGTCATCTCTTTAAATTTATGATGAGCTCTGCCTTATTTATTTTTATCTTCTATAAAGAAATTTTAGACTGGTTTTGCTTGCACCATGTGCATACCTGGTGGTCAGAAGTGGGTGTCAGATCCCCTGGGACTGGAGTTACAGACGGTTGTGAGCTGCCGTGTGGGTCCTGGGAATTGAACCCAGGTCCTCTGAACAAGCAGCCGGTGCTCTTAACCACTGAGCCACTGTCTCTCCAGCAGTCTGTCAGTTGAGCTCTGTCTGCATCCTTGCCGCTTCTGTTGTCCTGCCAATCATGTCTATCTTTCTTTTCTAGTAAACTCAAATTTCATTCATCTATGGTCTTAATTTGCTTTTCCTTGCATTTTAGCGAGATTGGCCATGAAATTTAACATTCTCTTTCCTTCCTGGTTGTGCTTCTTCAAACATGTAGCTGAAACTTCTCCCAGTGTCCAGTGCTACATGAGTATATGTGTGCTCACATGCTGTGTGTTCACATATGTGTGAGCGTATATGTTCATGTGCTGTGTGTTCACATGCGTGTGAGCATATGTGTGCTCACGCACTGTGTGCTCACATGCGTGCACTGCATGTGGGAGCCAGAGGTGAACCTCACATGTCATTTCTCAGGTATCTTCCACCTTGTTTTTTGAGGCAGACTTGTCAGTTTCCTGGAACTCACCAAGTAGGCGGCTGTCTGGCCAGTGAGCCCTGGGATCCTCCTGTCTCAAACTCCTTGGTCATGGAATGACAAATTTAAGCCATCCTGGCTGTTTAAGTGGGTGCTAGGGATCAAACTCTTTCTTGCAAGGCAAGCATTTACCCGACTAAGGCACCTCCCCAGCCACTGTTACTCAGATTTAATCCTTTTAAAAGAACTGTTTCAGTTTTGCTTTGTGGCTTGTTTCCACGGGGGCCTCTGCGGATGCGTTCCAGCTCGGAAGTCCAGACTGTGTCTCTGAGCAGCCCTCCTGCATGTCTCACTCTGTCACAGTGCTAGTACAATTGACACACATGTAGGTAAAAGCCTTCATTCCTGACTGGCACGGTTTTAAGCGTCCAGGGCCTCTGCGGTCTACCTAGTTCATCTGTGTCCAGGTCCACTGTGCGCCAGTTCACAGCGCTGATGCTGCAGTTTTTCGTGATTATTTTTGGCCCCCATGCTCTTCAAATGCATTTCCTCTTACTCTCCCCTCCGCGGAGGCAGAAAGGCACTGGGCCCTCAGTCTGCCAAGAACCGCCCAGGCTTGGGCACTCCACCAAGGTCTATCCTTAGTGCTTGAGCCCTGTTTTCCAGGTTTGTTTTTGTCACTCTGAGGCATCCGTAAGTGGCCTGTTTTTCCTAATAATCACTTCCTGGGCTTATCTGAAATTGGTCTCTCTGAAAGCCAGGAGCGGCATGCAATGACTTGGGGGCGGGTGTCCTGAGCTGACTTTATGCTCGCCTTCTCTGACCTGGCTTGGGATCATCTTGTGGCCGGTTCTTGCTAAGCCTTACAGCCTGTGACTGAAGCATGACCTTCCTAATAAGAGCCATAGAGAACCACACAGGCAGTTCCCAGAACTGGCCAGTTTCTCAGTGAATGGGAGATCGAGAAGGAAAAACAGTGTAGATTTCCTGTTACCAACCAGGGCTCCTCCCAGCCGTCCTGGAAAGCCTAGTTACAAAGAACAGGCCAGGGCCCAGAGACTCCTGGAATGGGTGCCCAACAAGGGACATGTCTGGGGACCACATTCTTAGACAGCTCTGGCCACCAGCTGGGAAAAGGCTTAGCCTAGTGTCCTAATTACCTCTCTGTTGCTCTGATAAAACCCTGACCAAAAGCAACTTGGGGGAGAGCGTTGACTTCTTCTAACATTTTGTAAGTCCATTGTTGAGGAAGCCAAGGCAGGAACCTGGGAGCCTGAACTTTAGCAGAGACCATGAGGAACACTGCTTACTGGCTCGCTCAACCTGCTTTCTTGTAGCACCCAGGGATAACACCACCCACAGTGAGCTGGGTCCTCCCATCAATCATTAAGAAGATGCCCTGCAGGTTTGCCCACAGGCCTATCCGATGAGAGCAGTCCCTCAGCAGAAGGTCCCCCTCCGCAAGTGACTCTAGTTTGCCACAGGCTGCCGAGGACCAAGCCGCACGGCTGCCAGGCTCTCCTCTCTAGGTTCAGTCCCCCAGCACAGTACAAGCCAGCTGTGGTGCAGCCCTGCCTGCCATCATGACAAGGGTTCCAGGGTCATTCTCAGCTACACAGAGGCCCAGGCCAGCCTGGGGTACATGATTTAACCCCGCCCACCTCCACCCCAAAGAAGCTCTGGTTTCTTAGGGGTGGCTTGGGAGCTCCAGGAGGCTGAAGCTCATTTGCTTCCTCATTCTTTGCAACCACTTCTAAATGGAGTGCCACTGGGTACCAGAGAAGCCGAAAGACAGCCTCGGCTACTCTGGGCCTCAAACTGAATGCTGCTGCAGCAGCTGGCAGGCTGTGTGCACAGGCCCTGGAGGTGCTGGCACTGTGGATGGTGAGGTGCTTGAAGCTGCAGAACATTTAGAGAAAGTGCCTCAATGGTTCTTGCAAATGTTTGCCCGAAGTGGCCTTCCATTCTTGTGGGAAGGGGGCTTGTTCATCGTCTCTTATGTCTGGCTCTTGGGTCTCTGGATTTTGACTTCACTGTTTTACTCTATCTAGCTTGTACCCACAGTGAGTGTCGTGTTCCCCCATTATTCAAGAGGATCTTGAAACCACCGCTTCTAGGAAGGACGTCCTCCTTGACCAAGCTCAGTAGGGGACCTTCTAGGCCTTGTATGTGACCAACCCCTCCTAGAGCTTCCCCTTTGTTTCCACAGAATATAAATTCTGTGGTTTACCTATTAGCTCCTTGTGTCTCAAATGGATTGCAAAAAGGCCCTAATCATAGACAATGGCCTTCTCAGAGGTGGGATGGCATCTAACTGGTTATGGGATGACCCCAACATAGACCAGCAAGGCTGCTGCTGCAGACGTGACTTCACAGATAGCTGCAGACACTTTGCTCCTCAAGCCTGAACTGCGTTTCCAGCGGATGGCTGCTTACACACACACACACACACACACACACACTCACACACACACACACAGCGTTTCACCGTGCGGTTCACTAAGTGCTCGAGGATCAGTGGGAGCAATGCGTTAAGGGCGGGGGAGGGAGTCTCAGTGAGATTTTGAGGGTTTTCTTTGTGGTTTGTTATTTTGAGACGAAGTCTCACTAGGTAGCACAGGCTGGCCTTAAACTTCTGACCTCCTTGCCTTAGCCTCCTGGGTGCTGGAAGTCATGCAACCGAATGAAGGGATTGCAGGGGTTAATTTGACTTTTTTAAGTTTTATTTTTATTTTATGTACACGGGTGTTTTGCCTGCATGTCTGTATGTGTACCACATGCGTGCCTGGTGCCTGCAGAGGCCAGAAGAGGGTACTGGATCCCCTGGAACTGAAGTTTCAGACAGTTGTGATGCAGGGAATTGAACCCAGGTCCTCTGGAAGAGCAGTGAGTGCTTTAACTACTGAAACGTCTCGCTGGTCCTCGTCTCTAGGTGTGTTTGAGGCTGTTGTAGAGGACCATGAATCTGGTGGCCACAGTGAGCCACTTCTCAGTATCCATATCTTTGTGTATTTCCCTGCCAGCTGTGAAGTATTAGTTTAAGATGTGTTTGTTACATTAGTTTATGCTGTGGAGTATTTGCTTAATGATGTGTTGCATTCTTTTATGTTGCATTTGTTTAACTCTGTAAAGCTGTGTTACTTTGCCTGTCTAAAACACCTGATTGAGCTAGTAAAGACTTGAAGGGCCAACAGCTCGGCAGGAGAAAGGATATGTGGGGCCGGCAGGCAGAGAGAATAAATAGGAGAAATCTAGGGAAGAGTGTGAGGAGCAAGAAAAGGAGAAGAGGAGGACTCCAGGGGCCAGCCACCCAGCCACACGGCTGGCCACAGAGTAAGAAGGAAAGAAAGATATATAGAATAAAGAAAGTAAAAAGCCTGCAGGCAAAACATAGTTAAAGAGAAACAGGATAATTTAAGTTAGAAAAGCTGGTTGGAAACAAATCAAACTAAGGCTGGACATTCATAAGTAAGTATAAGTCTCCTTGTATTTATTTGGGAGCCGGGTGGTAGTCCCCCAAAGAGTAAAAAGAAAGAAAAAAGACCCACCCATCTGGCCCAATTTTGAGTCTGGGTTGGCCTGTGATCTGATCTTTTCCTAGAAGAAAGGAGTGGGGCTGGAGAAATGGCTCACTAGTTAGCTGTGATCGCACAGGACCTGGGTTCCATTCCCAGCACCCATAGGGAAGTTTGTAACCACCTGTAACCCCAGTTCCAGGGGCTGAGACCTCTCTCCTGGCCTCTGTGGACACTGCCCACACATGCTGCACATACATTCATGTGGGCAAAACACATAAAAATATAATTTTACAAATAGACTTGAATTAAGGAGTCATTAGAAGGCCACCAGGCGTGAGTCTTTGGTGTCAGATGGGACTATAGAGATAAGGAGTCCGCTCTGCAGAGGCGGGGCACGGTGGGTGCTCACACTGCTGAGGTGGAGGAGTCCGCTCTGCAGAGGCGGGGCACGGTGGGTGCTCACACTGCATCTTTTCCAGGGCCTGTCCCAGTTGGCCTTAATCGTTCCTGAGACTGCCCCTGGCAGGGTTGGGAGGGAGCAGGCTTAACCCAGAAAATGGACAGAAGTGAGTATAATGTTCTCAAAGCATATACACTTGGAAGCCTGGTAAGACGTCCACTAAAATGATGGTTAAAAATTTAGTTTCTCCGAAGAGAAAGGATAGTGGATTAAATGTGATGCTTGTGCCGTTGGTAAAGTGTGATGACCCAGTTGTCTGGAAATCGATTCAAAACCTTAAATCAGTTCAGTGATTCAGAGTTTCTTGTAACTGGTGTCTGAGTAGTGAGAAAGAACTGTTCACATCCTGTAACGAAGCCAGCCTGGCTTTGGTGGCTGGTATAACCCTGGCCGAAAACAGCAGAACACGAACTTGACCTGTTTTAAACAACTGTTTCCTTTTGAAGATGCCCTACTGCGTTTTATTAGCCGTGCCTGAATCCCAGGACATCTAGAAATGATTCTTGTCACCATATGTTGGTTTGTGTTGTTGAAAACAAGATAAACTGACAAGAGGCTGTGAGGAATACTGAGGACGTCTGAGACCAGACTATTAGCTGAGAGCCTCAGGCTGGAGCCAGGCCTCACTGGGCCTGCTCAGACATCTGCTGTACAGCAGCAAGGGGCTCAGCCTCTCTCAACTCTGAGTCTTTATCATGACAGTGGGGGTGACACTACCCCACCTCAGGAGGCTGTGAGGACAAGAGGAGAGCTTAGCACAGGGTGGAGGGGGGGAGAGTGGGACGACAACAAGTGTGTGGGAACTACTGGCACCTTGCTGTCCTTCAGTGAATACATGGATAATATAGACTAGACAGGAGCTCAGTGGCAGGGGCTTGCTCTCTCCGTGTCCCCGAGCCCTTGGCTTTGATCCCTAACACCACAAAATTGAAGATAAGTTTTCAGGTGTGTGGTGATGAGGGACTAGACAGATCCCTGGTAGGAGTTAGACAGAAAGAGGGACCGCCAATCTGATTAAAGATGGCAAATTTCTGGCGCCTTCCTCACACTCCTGACCAAAGGCCTGGTGGGCTTTTACCCCATCAGTGGGCTGCCCCTGCCATAGACTGGTCCAAATTGGATCAGGACATGTTTACTTCAAAGTCAGGGGCCTATCAGCCTCTCTATCTTTGTTCATACTGACCAACACTAAGTTAGGGGATGAAGGCCCCTCAAAACCCCTGAAAACCCCCAGCCTTCAAGGAAAGACTGGATGTGGGGCTCAGGAGCCCCTCTTCTACACAGCAGGTGTCTTTCTCTGTGTGCCTTGCTGTGTGTGTGTCCTCTAAAAATAGTCTCTCTCCCCTGGCTGACTCCCTGCTGAGATTTCCCTGCTGCTACCCGTTATTTTCCCTGCATTTTAATTCTTTAACCAGCAGAGAAAACTAACCCAGTCTAGACCCCCTGAACAGAACAATGGTGCAAACCTTGAATTCTCAGCACTGAGAGGACTCAGGAAAAGGATCACCAAAAGTTCAGGTCAGCTCAGGCTACAGAATGGGACTTTGTTTCCTAAAAAAATTAACAAAACAACAACCCAAACTAAAATGGTTATAAAAATCTATTTTTGTACAATTTTGAGGGTCTGGTGGATTCTCCCCACATCTGTATTCTCAGCTACTGGGTGGGGGGGGGGGCTGAGGCAGGAGGATCGTTGGGGCCAAGGAGACCGAGATCATCCTCAGGCTTGGGAGTGGTGCATGCATGTGACCCCTCGGGAGGCTGAGACAGGAAGATGTCAAGTTTGAGGCCAGCCTGAGCTGCTGCTTACACAGTGCTAGCATCTGAACTCGGGGCCATGAGTGGTCTAGGAAGCCCTGGTACCATTGGGCTACACCCCCAGCCAGGTTCACACTGTCTGTCAGTGACCTCCCCTGCCTAGAATCTCTCATTCTTTGAACCACATTTTATTTTGAACAAACAAAAGTAAAACGAACAGGTGACCCAGAGGCTAGAATGAGTCTGTTTGTATAACACTTAATTTAGATTTCAGAGAAGAGTGAAGAGAAAGGAATTTCATTAGGAATGGTGCTCTGTGAGGATTCCGATACTGGGCTGCTATGTTAAGTGGTCTCCTGAAGCACCAGGTGAGATCTCTGTGGGCGGAGCCACTTTCACAGATGACACCAGGTGAAGCTGGTCATGGCCCCCTGTTGCCTTACCTTGACAAGCCCTGTGCGGACCCCAGCACAGGCCTCCAGTTCGAAGCCACTGGTGTCTCAACGAGGGCAAGCCTTGGGTGCTGCGGTTAGTCTGGGAACATAGAGTCCATCACCCCAGGCAGAGGGCTGTGTTTGTTTATGAATTTAACTGCTTTACTGCAGTTTCTAGAAACAGATGAGGCCATTTCTTGCAAATATTTGATTCCACAGAAATTGCCAAAGCGTGAGTTTCACTCCCACGTTCCCTCAGGAGGTCAAAGTGCAGGGGACTCTGTCTTCCTGTTTCTCTGAGTCTGCTCCCCCCATGGGGTTCTCAGCTACAGCTGATGTCCTGACACAGGAGCACACTGGATAAACAGTTGTTGTCTGCCCAGGTGGAGATCTCCACCCACCCCCTAGAACTACTGCGGAATCACTGAGTATGTGAGGAGTAAAGGAACACACATGAAAAAATGACTACTTAATTCAAACTTTCATTATAAACTTTCCAACGCAGAAAGAAGTTCATCTAGACTCAACAGTTAATACTTTGTCACATTAGTCTTATCTATTGGGGGCGGGGCACGACACACACAGGGTACTGCCAGGCCACCATGCTCAATCCTCTTGCTTCTGCCTCCCAGGTTCTTGGATTGTGGGCATGAGCCACAAAGCCTGTCTCCTTATTCGGTCTTTTTAAATTTTCCTGCTGGGTCACACATCTGAATACATATAAACCTAGACCTGCACTCATGTAACCACAATCCCACCGTCCAGCTGAAAAAGGAAATCTAGGGGCTGGGGAATGGCTCAGTGGGTAAAAGCACTTACAAGGCAAGACCTGAGTTGAGATCCCCAGCACCCACATAAAAAACCAGGCGTGATCGTGGGTGCCTGGTACCCAGCTGTAGGGCTAGCGACGGGGATATGGGAGCTCACTGGTCACCTGGCCAGCCAAGCTGAAACACGACTTCAGGTTTAGTGAGGGACAGTCCAAGTGGAGAGAGTGGCAGAGGAAAATATTTGATGGCCTACTCTGTCTCTACAAGCCTGCTTGTAGGCACCTGCACCCACACAATCGGGCACATGCATGCAAACATATATACACAAACGCATGCACACACACCTAACAATTCTTTTATAATATCTAGTATCTTGCCTTTTAGAAACATGGCTTTTAAACATTGTTTGGGTGTGCTGGATTGGTCATGGAGGTGGAGGTCAGAGTCCACACAGGCAGGGTCCCAATTTTGGTGACTTCCCAGTGGTTTGCTTCAGTCCTGCCCACCTCCACAGTCCCTTGCAACTGACAAGTTCATCTTCTGGGATTTCTTTTGGCATGGGGTCTCAACCTTATATTCTCTTTCTGGGAACTCACTCTGTAGACCAGGCTGGCCTCAACCTCATGGAGATCTACCTACCTCTGCCTCCCAAGTGTTGGGATTAAAGGTGTGTGCCACTATGCCTTATCACTAAAGTCATCTTTTAAACTCCATCCATGAACACTCGTGCCACAGTCATTAACGGCTGAGGCTGTGATGGGGCCCTGAGAAGCTGGATGTTTCATGAGTATTGGGGGAGACCCGACAGGCAATCCAAGGACAGCGTGACAGACTTCTTCCTGAACTCCAGGTGAATGTACCAACATTTCCAAGCTTTTGAACTTTAACCCCCAAGAACGCCCCAGTGGCTATCAAAAGGGTCTTCCCTTCATTTCTATACACTGGAGTTTAAGAATAAAATTTATTACAAAACAGTCAGTCCAGTGGTGGTGTCGCACGCCTTTAATTCTAGCACTCAGGAGACAGAGACAGGCAGATCTGAGTTTGAAGCCAGCCTGGTCTCCAGAGCAAGTTCCAGGACAGGCTCCAAAGCTACACAGAGAAACCCTGTCTTGAGAGAGAAAAAAAAAAAGTCAGGGGGAAAACAAAGCTCCTTAGAAACCAAAATTAAAATTCTCAGTCAAAAAAGATAGTACAGGAAGAGAGAGATGGCTGAGCAGTTAAGAACACTGGCTGCTCTTCCATATTACTCAGGTCAGGACCCTGACTCCCACCTGGGGAGGCTCCACCAAACTAACTGCAGCTCCAGGAATCTGATAGCCTTTTCTGGTGTGAGAGCACTGTGCTCACATGCACAAACCCAAATATATGTAATTCCAGAGTCTGCTTTTATGGTGTTCGTTTTTCCTTTTTGCCTGTGTGTGTGTGCGTGCGTGCGTGTGCGCGCGCGCGTGCGTAACTGAAGTTCCCAGAGAAAAGCCATGCTTACATCGAACACTCCACAGGGCTCACTGGTCAGAACTTCGGTGACTGTGGAGAGCTGGAACACTGCAGATCCAGGGCCAACGGTCTTGGGACGTGTCAGCTCCTCACCTCTGTGTATGACCTACAGTGCTGGTGACTGTTAGCTAAGTCCTTAGGGAATGCAAACGGTTATCAGCTCTCAACCCAAAACCAAGAATGCTATCGGACGGTATAAGAGGCCCATAGCAGAGGCTTCCCCACTTGGCTGTAGCCTGTCTACCTCATGCTTTGGGCCATCTGAAAAGTGCCTTATTTCTGACTTTCTCCGTTCTGTTACTATAAAAGCGTCATGAAGGTGTTAACATGTTGGAATACAGTACTTGGACCAACCTGAGTCTCCTTCTGGGTTATGCTCACTCTCATTTGGTTCCACAATAAACTTTTATTCCCTTTGAGGGAAGAGCTGTGCTTTGTATGAATACCCCAACTGTCTCAGGACACAGGCTCCAGAACCTGTTTCAGTCTTTGGCTAGTGTAATCTGACAGTTCAGTGCCTACTAACTCCTAGCCTCATGGTCTCTCAGTAGAACTGTCCAGACTCTTCACTGAATTCAGATCAACCACACTATATAAACGTTGTCTCCTATTTGCAACTGTGATGACATTTCTGTCCTTGGATAATTAGTCCCTTGCTTTTAATATATTTGCTACCCAATTAGTGATCTGGCTCAAGGTGTGGAAGTCTAAGACCATGGCAGAGAAAGCCATGTGCTTGTCCTCGCAGGGTGAGAAGCAGGAGGGCAGGGGGTTGTGCAGAGAGGAAGCCAGAGAGTGAACTGGCTGGCAAGTCAAACAACCTGCTCTTACAAGAACTACACTCATCCCTAGATAAAGGTGAAGTCCCCGTGGCCTAATGACCTCCTGAAAGTCCACCCCCACCCCCAGCCTATCATGCTGGGACCGGGCAACCCCACACTCACACCACAGCACTGGTCTGGCATTGCTCTGGTCATGTTTCTGTTTGTCTCTGTGTGTTCTCTGAGACAAGCGTTGCCTACTCCACTGAGTGAACTGCTCAACGGCTTGACTATATGCACCAAAAAGCCAACACAACCACTGACTGCAAAAAACATTTTATGGCTGGGCATGGTTGGCACACGCCTTTAATCCCAGCCCTTGGGAGACAAGATGGATCTCTGAGAGTTCAAGGATTTGAGGGCAGCCTGATCTACACAGTAAGTTGCAGACCAAGACTACATAGTAAGACCATCTCAAAAATGAATAAAGCGTGTGTATGTGTGTGGGGGGGCCGGGAGGGGCAGCACACTTGATACATGGTACACACGTGGAGGTCAGAGGACAACTTGAGGGAGTCGGCTCTCTCCCTCCACCATGTGATCCTGGAGATCAAATCCAGGCCACCAGGTTTGCTGGCAGGTGCCCTCACCTGCTGATCCATCTCACAGCCCTCAACTGTTGACATTAAGAATCTGCAGTCTCCTTGGGGCTCTCTCTTCCCAGGGTCTAGACGGTCTGTATGAGTCTGTGAACCACATGTGTGCAGTGCCCAAGAAGGCCAGAAGAGGGCGTCAGATTCCCTGGGCTGGAGTTACAGATGGCTGTGAGTCACTGTGTAGACTCTAGGAACCACGCCTGGGTCCTCTACAAGAGCAGCCAGTGCTCTTAACTGCTGAGTCATCTCTCCAGCCCTCACAGAGAATTTTAAGACCTTCTCCAATTCAGTCTCCCTTTTCCAATAGAGAGAGAGAAAATTTTCAGTTTTTTCCCTTCGGCTCTCTCTCTCTTTGCTTCCATACTCTCATCTTGCTAGCCCATGGCCTAAGAAGCCACAGCTCCCCGTGACAGCCTACTCAGCACTGCTCTTCTACACTGCTGGGCCTGCAGGGTAGAGCTAGCTCCTTGAGACTTCACGCCTCACTTGTCTGGCTGTTTCATAACAAAACAAACGAAATATACATATAAAATTTCTAGGCCCAAAGTAACTGTTATATCAAAGAGGTTCAATGCCATCAACACTTCTTATACACCTGCTTAACCTATTAATCTGTCCCTTCTCTTTGCTTAAATACTTAAGAGCAAGTCCAAGATATAACATCATTTAACTCTATCAGCATGCATCCCTTAAACTCAACAAAAATGCAATTAGAATTAACATTTCATTTTTTATTTGGGGGCCTTTTTTACATATTCTACAGTGTAGTTTTATACAATATCACAAATTACACTTTGTCTTACAAAGGCTAACAGTGGGTTGTTTTCACAAGAATTAAGTGCAGCCCTCACAAACAGCACTTCCCAGAATGGTGGGGAAGCTGCAATGATCACACCACCTTAAGCTGTCAGACCCCTCTCCACTCAGCAGGCTTTTCTGCCTCGGTATCCCTGGTCTTGAAGCAGATGGGGTGTGTCAGCCATCCAGGGCATGTGCAGCCTCTATTCACTGACGACAGCAGTACCCTCCACACACACAAGCAGCTCAAGTTACAACGGGCAAAAAACATCTTCACCTTTACCAAAGGTCCCCCTGGAAGATAACCTCGCAGTGAGAACTGTTATAAGTGGGCCTCAAGTATCCTTGGAGTTCCCAGTCACTTGGCTTCTGCACTGGGGACTGAATGACTCTCAAAGGTCAGTGTTAAGTGAGTCAAGTCACATGCCAGACAAAGGTAATCACTCCAAACTCCTCTTGATGCCATCCCAGATCCTGAGTGTGGAAAGGGACCCTTTTAGGACATGGCATTGTCAAGCCCAGCAGAGCCACCAAGTGGGATCCTCCAAGTCGCTGATAGAACACTTGCTCATGGCAACCTACTACACTGCCCCATTGCCTGGTGTCTGTCCTAGCCTTGCCTGCTTGGGCACTTCCGAAGTGAAATCCATCACAGAACATAAGTGCCATAAGAAGCACACAACAGCAGCCACCTTCTGAAGTCGCAAAGTGATTTTAAGGCAAAGGTCAGTTCACTGTGAAATGCAGAGGGCTGACCTGCTGTCCTACTAACGTCGGTACCAAGAATGCCTTGTTAGCAGGAGAAAGCACTGTGTCAAGAATTTGGTCTTTACAGCATCTTATCTTAAAATACAAAACATTGCTCTGTACGAATACATTGATCCCAAATTTCAACACTAAAACAGAATATAGAAGTTCCATGAAGTGGCCTCACCATGAAGCTTTTCCAAAGGAGAAAACCAGACAAAGGAGAAAACCTAGATGCTTATGATCATTAAGACATACCGAGCAAGAGCAATACAGATCTTCTAAGCCATTAGTAAATTCCTCTGAAAATGGACAAAAGTGTGTAGTCACCAAACAAGGAAATAGGTGACAAGCCAGAGGCCCTATCTACAATGTACCACGTAAGAGACAAAGTGCAAGCTGTAAGAGGCTGTGGCTGAGTCTCAGAGTGTAAGTTTGCTGAGACCCTTTTAAGTCTGACACTATAGCGCCTATACAAATGTCCTTTTCCAGAGCAGTTCACTCTGCTTAGGTCTGCTGTAAAATGACTCACCAGTAATCCTAATATATACTCTGAACTGGAAGAATCTATTTGGAAATGAAGGCTTTAAAAGAAACTATCAGTTCCCACTCAAATTATGTTCAAAGACCTATGAAGATGAAAGCACAAGCAAGAAGCAGAGCTCCAGCCTCAGGTCTTCTTTAGAGCAATATTTCCTGCACAATAAATAACAGCCTTCTCCTTTATCTCACAAAACAAAACCCTAACACTAAATTAAGCGCCCTTCGTCTGTGTGTTCATCCGATGAACTGCACTAGCAATGCACAGCTGCTGTGCAGAGCAGAGCCAAGGCCAGTCAAAGATCCACCTCAGGGCTTCACATGTGGAGAAAGCTGCCATCAAGAACCCCTCAGAGCACATCCCTGGGATACCTCGACAGCCGCAAGGCAACAGGGACTGATGGCATCTGAGGACACATACAGCTCTGTGCCATGCTCAAAAGGCTTTCACCTACCACAGAGGGAGATCAGGGTGGCAGAGAATGACACCATAGGCCAGTCCAGGCAGAACAGTGCACTGCACCTGTGCAGAGTCACGGTGACTTTAAATGAGGTCTCCCAAGCAGCAGGCAGTGACCTGAGTGCTGACAGGACTGACCTCCAATTCCCCAACAAACAGTTTATGTGTCAAGATTAATTCTCTTTGGCCGAAGAGGGTAGCGCCGTCTCTGGGAGCAGTCAGGGGCATGCTTTCTCTTTAGCACTATGTTCGATGTGCTCCTGGCTGCAGTTTCGGTTGGTGTGGTTTCCACTTGTGTTATAGACTTGCTGGGCTTGGTATCAGCTCTCCTGTAACAGCTGGAAAAGACTTCCTGGTTGATCCTCTGCAGTTGGATGACAGGCTGCATCTTTAAGACCTGGGAAAAGCCTTCTCCTTGTTCAATTAACACAGGCAAAGCCTTGGGAAGGAAAAAGCTCAGGTTGAAAGGTGAACACACAGACACAGCCACACTACACACACATGGATACGTAGCATTGTAATTCTTTTTTTTTTTTAATATTTTATTTATTTATTGTATACAACATTCTGCTTCCATGTATATCTGCACACCAGAAGAGGGCACCAGATCCCATAATGGATGATTGTGAGCCACCATGTGGTTGCTGGGAATTGAACTCAGGACCTCTGGAAGAGCAGTCAGTGTTCTTAACCTGTGAGCCATCTCTCCAGCCCCAGCATTCTTTAAGTCAAGTGTATTACTGAGACCTGATTTCTTGGTGACATGTTTATTTGACTTTATATTTTAAAATGCCCATTTAAATGGAGGAATTAAACTTAAAGCTAAGACTAAAAGATACACACACACACACTAAATTTTGGGGATAAGACTGGTGGTGGTGGTGCACTGACAGAATGAACTTAACCTGTTAGAGACCTGAGCATCCTCCTACAGCTGCAAACATGCCTGGCGCCCACCAACACCAGTCTTTTCCTACTCTATATGCCTAGCACAGCTTTTACCTTCATGGCACCACTGATTTACAGCTTTTACCTTCATGGCGTCACTGATTTCCTTAGCTATAGCGTCCCCGCGACATTTCAGATTTTCCACATGAGAAGCTGCAAGAAACCACCAAACAGTATTTTAGCTTCTTTATCTCATTAGCCAACCGTAAAGACGTTTAGATGCAATCCAGACAGAAATCTGTTAGGACCATTCACCTTAGACTAATCTTTCTTACAGTACTTTGTAATCTACTAAAGACAACGTCCTATCCAATTTATCAAGATGAGTAAGAGGACCAGGAGGTCAGCAGAGTGCAATTCAAAGGTGTGCACACAGGTGGGGTGCTGAGCAGCCCCCGCTGTGCCCCAGGAGCATCCAGCCTCTGTTCTATAAACATTCTTGCAGCTGACACCTCCACACATCATCAAGTTTTAAGACAAACACAGGCTAAGACTTTAAATGATTGTGAATTTTACAAAAGCAAAACATGGGCCAGTGAGATAACTCAGCAAAGTGCTTGCAAAGGGGTTGGCTGACAGTTCAGTCCTAGAGCGGAGGCAAGGCAGGGAACCCTGCAGGAGGGATCCCCGCTTCACAAAGCTGTGTTCTGACCATCACGTGCATCCTGCACTGCCTGCTGCTGAGGCATTCCTTCCCTGGTGGAGAACCTCCGTCTCTAGTATTTCAATGTAGACTGAAGACCAACAGCTCATCCCTGGGACTCCAGCACCAGACTGGAAACTGACTCAAAAGCTACCTTGGCCTTTGCTCAGGAGACAGCCAAAGATGAACTACCTGGACTGTAGCCCGTAGGCCACTCTATAATACTCTGTCTCTCTCTCAAATTCATTTCATCGGTTGTATCTTTAGAGAACCCTAACACAGCAAAAAGCATTCGTATCCTTGTGTGCATCAGCCATGGTCACATGATCCAAAAGAGCCCCACTCCAGTGCGCACAGTCCTTTCCCTCTGCAGGACTAGGCACTTAGTGTGCCGCTTCCACAGGACTACTACAAACAATTCCTAAAATACCTCATACCACCGTTTTTGGTCTTTATCTTCCCCTTGCTAAACAATACCTATTTTTCATGTACAAACAATGAAAACCTATAAGCCCAAGAGTGACATGGGCTTGTGTATAAAATGGAGCTGGGCTCTAGGCTTTCATACTTATAGATTATCACACCCAGGTGTGTGATGGGGTATTCTAAAATAAGACATTCAGTATTTCTGGCAAAACTATAAATCCCTTTTACAAACTACAGCATCCCTTACTCACACACATCCAACAACTTTTTCCGAAGGGCCACTAGAGGGCAGCGTGCACACCAATGAGCAGTCGAGCCTCTCCTGGGAGGGCTGGCTGTCTCTAAGCATGGGATCTTCAGTGGTGATCACAGGTACTCAAAAGCTAGGACAGGGCACAACACAGTCATGCTGTCAGGCACTTCCTAATGAAAGAGGGTGCTGTCAGCTCACACAGGGACTATGTTATGGACAGCTTGCCTTAAACAGAGATCTGGTGCCAAATGGACTGAGGAGTACAGGATCGGAGGCAGTGGATAGGATACACTATACCCAAATAAAGAAACAGATCAAAAACAGTAGGCGAGGGCAACTGAAGACTAGTATAGGAAAAGGAAGGTGACTGGAGGACAGCCTCCAGTGTCCACACACCCAGGACTGGAGGACAGCCTTCAGTGTCTACACACCCAGGACTAGAGGACAGCCTCCAGTGTCTACACACCCAGGACTGGAGGACAGCCTTCAGTGTCTACACACCCAGGACTAGAGGACAGCCTCCAGTGTCTACACACCCAGGACTGGAGGACAGCCTTCAGTGTCTACACACCCAGGACTAGAGGACAGCCTCCAGTGTCTACACACCCAGGACTGGAGGACAGCCTTCAGTGTCTACACACCCAGGACTAGAGGACAGCCTCCAGTGTCTACACACCCAGGACTGGAGGACAGCCTTCAGTGTCTACACACCCAGGACTAGAGGACAGCCTCCAGTGTCTACACACCCAGGACTGGAGGACAGCCTTCAGTGTCTACACACCCAGGACTAGAGGACAGCCTCCAGTGTCTACACACCCAGGACTGGAGGACAGCCTTCAGTGTCTACACACCCAGGACTAGAGGACAGCCTCCAGTGTCTACACACCCAGGACTGGAGGACAGCCTTCAGTGTCTACACACCCAGGACTAGAGGACAGCCTCCAGTGTCTACACACCCAGGACTGGAGGACAGCCTTCAGTGTCTACACACCCAGGACTAGAGGACAGCCTCCAGTGTCTACACACCCAGGACTGGAGGACAGCCTTCAGTGTCTACACACCCAGGACTAGAGGACAGCCTCCAGTGTCTACACACCCAGGACTGGAGGACAGCCTTCAGTGTCTACACACCCAGGACTAGAGGACAGCCTCCAGTGTCTACACACCCAGGACTGGAGGACAGCCTTCAGTGTCTACACACCCAGGACTAGAGGACAGCCTCCAGTGTCTACACACCCAGGACTGGAGGACAGCCTTCAGTGTCTACACACCCAGGACTAGAGGACAGCCTCCAGTGTCTACACACCCAGGACTGGAGGACAGCCTTCAGTGTCTACACACCCAGGACTAGAGGACAGCCTCCAGTGTCTACACACCCAGGACTGGAGGACAGCCTCCAGTGTCTACACACCCAGGACTGGAGGATAGTCTCCAGTGTCTACACACCCAGGACTGGTGGGTAGCCTCCAGTGTCTACACACCCAGGAATTTACAAGTCTGGGAGAAAACCAGAGAGAAGCAACTGTCAGGGGCTACGGTGACAATGCTCACACTGAAGGATGTGTATGTACATAGTTGCAGTGACAATGCTCACACTGAAGGATGTATACATAGCTGCAGTGACAATGCTCACACTGAAGGATGTGTACACAGTGTAAGGTCTAAGGACCCAACACCAGACTGATGTTTTTCCACAGGAATGAGAAAGATCAAAAGTGAAGCTAGTGGGCAGCCGGGCATGGTGGCACACGCCTTTAATCCCTGCAGCTAGGACACAGGGGCAGGAGGTCTCTGTGAGTTCGAGGTCAGCTGGTCTACAGAGCAAGTTCCAGGAAAGCTGGGACTACATAGAGAGACCCTGTCTCAAAAAAAAAAAAAAAAAAAAAAAAAAACTAAACTAAAACAAAACAAAACAAAAAGTGACTCTGGTAAGTGCAACGAGTCTTCTGGGGAACTTGCCTCTGAAAGGCAAGCACCCGGGAAGAAGGACACACCCCGAAGCCTCATCTGCTGCAGCCACCACACATCCTGTCAGTCTCAGGCCATTTCAGAGCAGGCCTCATGGCCACCTTTACAAATAACCCGAGAAGGGGACTGCAACTGGATAGAATTAGAGGGCACATCTTCTAGAATCCAAAGTAACCCTGTCAAAGACCACTCTGCCAGAAATCACACACTGTCCTCCTAAGATGTAAACTCACAGATAGTTCTGAAAAACTGAGCCCCAGGATAATGAAACTCCTGACCATTTTAAAATTAAATGTCTAACTATGAATTTACAGTACCTCTTCTTTTTTAATTAAGTAAATTGAAGCCTTTGCATTTAAAAGGTATCTGCAGTGTGTGGTGGTGTTCACCTTTAATCCAGCACTTGGGAGGCAGAGGAGATAGGTCTCTCAAAATGACCTCTAACAGTCAGGAAGGAGACAGACACCTGTGATCTCAGCACCCGGAAAGCAACAGCAAGAGGACCACACATTACAGGCCATCCTGTACTAAACACAAAGCTGAGCAAAACTCATAAAGCATGTGGATATGCTGCATAGACATAAAAATTATTTTCTGGGCTGGCAAGATGGTGCAGCAGGAAAAGGCACTTGCTGCCAAGCCTGACAATCTGAGTTAGATTCCTGGAACCCATGTGGTGGAAGGGGGGAGTTGTTCTCTGACCTCCATGCCCAAGCTATAGCACGCACGTATGTGTGCACAAACACACACAATGGATAAAAAGTTTTAGAAAGTTAAAGACATCACTTTCCAACATAAATACCTGAAGAAATTCCAAAGCAATAAGCTTTTTGCTCCCTTGCTCACAAGGATTCTAAGTCAATCTGTCATGGTTTATAACTAGAACACAGAAACACTCCTGGCACACGAATTCTGTCTTAGGACCTAGTGCTGGTGGCTGACAGTCCATGGTAAGAAGCTGTGACGGCCTCCCCTAGAAGCGTTCTCATGCCTCCTCCTCCTCACGGGCCCTACAAGAGCATCATCAGGATGGCAATAAGCTTTGGAGGCTGTCCTGGAACTAGCTCTTGTAGACCAGGCTGGCCTCGAACTCACAGAGATCCTCCTGCCTCTGCCTCCCGAGTGCTGGGATTCCACTCTTAACAGTGCCAACAAAAGTTCCTGAAAGAACCACACCTCATAGGGAGACTTCCAAAGCTGATTAACTTACTTAGTACAATGGGGAAAGGATACAATGTTTCCAGTCCAGAGCCACTTATCCCAGCTGTCTTTACCAAGTGTGCCTCCTTTGTAAGTGACCCAACAACTTTATCACCATTAGATAAATCCCTGGAGATGTACACACAGACCTGTTTCTATCCACCAGAAAGCTGAGCCACCAGCAGACAGCACCTTAGGCCATCTGTGACCTGACACTTCCACTGGTGCATTAAAAATGCAGAGCTCATTTATGATTTCTCTATTGTTTTGTAAAACTCCACAAAACTGTTGCCACACTGCAACATGAAATTTGCAGGAACCTAAATCTGTACTCCCTGGCCATACTATCTCTTTCCCTCTTTAAACTGAAGTTCGAATCCCAGGTGCAAATGTGAACCCTGAAGTGTACATCCTTGTGAGTGCTACCCGCAGATTGTCCAGCAGCGCCCAAAGCCAGACAGCATTGTCAGGACACAAGAGGGGCTGCCTGAAGGCTCTGCTTGCAGGGCCAGCTTAGAACTCACGTGTCGACTGTAGGAGGCCCTGAGACATCCCTGCCATCACTACGTGTTTAATGCAGGGTAACGGGAAAGAACCTTTTCATTCCAGGGCTTTACACTGATGACTACTCAAGGGTGCTCCTGACTAACGAGAACCATGTCTTACTGGTAAATAGTTAATCAGTAGATAGCTGGGGAAAAGTTTGCCCTTACAAAATGTGGAAGTTCAGAGCCTCTGAGAACACAGCCTCCCCTGGCTGCCTGCTTTCTAAAACAGAGGGAAATGAAAAAGTGGAAATGAAAGGTTGAGTAATAAGCCTGGTTTTGCTTCCGGGTCACTGCCTGTCTAAACAAAGGAACATGAACCCCCAAAGCCTGCAAATTCAGCAGAAATGCGCCACTGGAGAGCTTCCCATGTGCTCCCAATGTATTTCCTGAGCACGAACAAGCAAGCGTGCTCAAGGGTAACCGGCTTGTCTCAGTTTCTAAGGAGGCAGCTGATGCCAGCGATGCCGTGAGTTGATGAGGATTGAGATCAGCATTCCTGCTGAAAATACCAACAGGTTAGAGCTATGAGTCCACACAACTCACTCCTCTTCAGCACTGTGGTGGCAATCATGTTGTGGGATATTATTTTAAGATGTGTTTCATTTGTTTATGCTGTGGAACATGTAATGATGCAAAGATGTGTTGTATTCTTTTATGCTGCATTTGTTTAATTCTGTCAATCTGTGGTTCTATGCCTGTCTAAAACACCTAATAAATAATAATAATAATAATAATAATAAATAGTAATAATAATAATAATAAATAGTAATAATAATAATAATAAATAATCAGTTCTAATAAAGAGCTGAATGGCCAACAGCAAGAAAAGAGCAAGGATAGGCGGGGCTGGCAGACAGAGAGAATACACAGAAGGAGAAAAAGAGGGGCTGAGGAGCGGAGCAAGAAAATGAGAGGAGGATGCTGGGGGCCAGCCACCCAGCCACCCGGCCACCCGGCCACCCCACCACCCAGTCAGCCACGGAACAAGAGTGAAAGCAATATACACAGAACTAAGAAAAAGAAAACACCCGAGACAAAAGGTAGATGGGATAACTTAAGGAAAGCTGTCTAGAAAAAAACCAATCTAAGGCCGGCATTTATCAGTAATAATAAGCCTCTGTGTGTGATTTATTTGGGAGCTGGGTTGCAGGGCCCCCGAAAGAGTCAAACAGCCAAAAAAGTAAAAACAAGCAAGCAAAAGCAAGCAAACAAAACAAACAACTACAGTTTCCCCTGGGTCTGTCAAAAACCCTTTTTGTGGTTTTTGTTTGTTTGTTTGTTTGTGTTGTTTTTTCCTGAGGCAGGGCTTCTCTGTGTAACTTTGGAATCTGTCCTGGAACTTACACTATAGACCAGGCTGGTCTCAAACTCACAGAGATCCACCTGCTTCTGCCTCCTGAGTGCTGGGATAAAATGTGTGTGCCACCAATGCCCAGCCAGGCCCATCAAAATGGACCCAGAGGTTTTAATCTGGCCTCAGCCAAGTGTCTGATCTTATTTGCCAATTCTTTTGTCCCATGGACTTGGGTTTATTTCTCAGTGCTCGTCCTCCTGATAGGATCGATATAAATGCCCACCTACCATTGCCACAGAAACTTCCTCTCACCTGAACACACTGTTCCAGGTTCATGCTACCCACCCTCTGAGCACAATGCTGCTTCTGGAGTCGTGAGGCGGCTGACCCCTCAGCCATGGCGACACTGGTAGGACTTCTTTAGGATACCGACCTGCACAGCCTGGCCAGGACTGCTGCACTATGCAGACCCTGGCTAGCCAACAGTAGCTACAGATCTGCCTCTCTGAAAATGGAAGGAACTGATGTGCACCAGCAGGGTAGGAAGTGGTATCATCAGCTCCCTTGTTTAACACCAAGGGCTGAGACGAGCCTTCCTACTCTGAAACAGGGACAGGAAACCACCAACCAACAAGTGTATGTGAAGCTACATGGTAAGTGCTACATGGTGACATCGCCAGGCCTGGGCCTGCACCGTGTGCCCACCCGTGACTCATGGTCAGACCCGGTATCTCCAGTATGACATGTGCCCACAGCCTCTTAAGCCATGGCCCTGGCCTTGGACTGCTCGTGACTAGGTGAAGGCAGCACAAACTAGTAGCAGGAGGGAGAGACTCTGAAGAGGCAAAACAAGCACAAGTCCAGGGAACGTTCAGTGAATTCGGGAGGGAGGAACGTCCTGCAGAGGTGATGCAGCAAACACACCGTCCCAAGTCCTAAGAGCTAAAGTCAATCAGGCACACACCACAGGGCTGACAGACGGCTCCTGAGTAAAGTGACTATGGAGCACACTGCCAATCCCCAGCTAGGCGCAGCAGTGCATGTCTGCAACCCCAGGGCTGTCGAGGCAGGGGCAGGAGGCAGGGGCAGGAGGCAGGGGCAGCTCCCTGGCCAGCCTGATGGAACCAAGGAGCTCCCCATTCAGTTAAAGGAATGGCAGGGTACCAGGGAGTGGTAGGCCTGACAAGGGTTGTAAAGGACTGTGATGCAGGGTAACATGGACAATCTCTCTAGTGAGGTGACAGTGTGAACAGAGAGCTACGTGAAGGGAGAGGATCAGATAGGTAACTTTAGACAAGAATGAAAGGCACCGGCCCAGTACATACCTGGTACAGCCTGAACACAGAGTGAAAGTTAGAGCACTGTGAGCAAGGTTACAGGTGTGGAGCACCAGGCCAAGCAGAGATCTCACAAAGCTGAATGGCACAAGAACTCCATCCTAGTAAACCACTATTTACAAGGAACAAGGATAGGAGCTGGAGAGATGGCTCAGCAGTTAAGAGCTCCAACTGCTCTTGCAGAGAACCTGAGTTCAACTCCCAGCACTCACAATGGGCAGCTGACAGCCACTTCTAACTACAGCTTTGGGGAATCCAATGCCTCTAGCCTGTTCTGGCACCTGTATTCATGCCTACCAACATACCTGTGGTTTAAAAATAAAAATGTTAAAAAACCTTCCTAAAAAATGATAATGGGTTCAATATATTCAACATGATGAAAGCAAATAAAATTTAAAAGCAAAGATGAAATAGAAACTCAGAGCTGGCCCCCGACAACCTTTACCTGAGCTGCCTAAGGAAGTACTAGCAAGAAGCAAGCCCAAAAGGCAGGCAAAAAGTTAAAAATAATAGCTATTTCAGAATTTTGAAAATTTGATTGATAAATCTAACTAATCACAAGTACAAAAAAGAAGCTACTGAGCCAGACATGGTGGCTTATACCTGGGATTCCAGCACTCAGGAGGTGGAGACAGGAGGATCATGAGTTCCCTGCCCTCAAAAAACAAAACAAACAAAACAAAGCCAGCTGGGGATGTAGCTCCTGGTCAGCACTTGTCTGGCAGGGGCAGGGTCCTAAGCTCCATCCTCAGCAGGACAAGAGTCCTAGCAGGTAAATTTTACCTTTCATTTAACCAGGAAAACTAAAATTGACGTGAAAAACACAGAAAACTGGGAGTGGGGGTGTCCTTATTCAATGCACAGAGGGTACAAAGGTCCATTTCTTGCTCATGGAGTTTAAAGGACTGGATAAAGTCAGATAACTTCACTAGAGCAGTTACAATTTTATAGGAGACATTAAAGGAACAGAACTACAGAATGCCTCTTCCAAATTGAGAAACAAAAGTAAGGGCAGAAAGGATACTGTATCCGCACAACAGAAGGTAGCAAAGGCGGGGCTTGGTATGAAAGAGCTGGGACTGGAAACTGGAACTATGCATAAATCTGAACATAAAGCTGGACTGGTCAACTGTGGCCTTCACTGTGTTTATGAAAACCGTGTCTAGCCGGGCGTTAGTGGCGCAAGCCTTTAGTCCCAGCACTCGGGAGGCAGAGGCAGGCAAATCTCTGTGAGTTTGAGGCCAGCCTGGTCTACAAGAGCGAGGTCCAGGACAGGCTCCAAAGTCACAGAAAAACTCTGTCTCGAAAACCCCCAAAACAAAAACAGAAACAAAAAAAAACAACTGTCTACACTAACTCAAGAAGTTATATATAACACACATTGTAGAAAACCAGGAAGACCACATTAAAGATAAAATCTGAATCATGAAAACAAAAAAAAACAAACCAACAAAAGAAACCTACAGCAAAACTGAAAGAGAATGGCGTTTCTGTCAGTAGAGACACAGCCAGCAGCTGTGCATTGCAGCCTGGAGCATCTAACATTTGAGATTGTGGGGAGGGAAAACTCGAGGCTGACAGAATGACAGAGGGTATCACAGACATCTAAAGACAAGCGCTATGCATCGACTGTGGAGGCGAGGCCGCGCACAGCTGGGGACCATGACAAAGGATGCTTCATTTCCAACACATTCTCCAACAGCTTACCTGGGTCAGGGTCACATTTCAGGTCCAAGGGATGCACAACCGGGCGATACTGCTTCTAAACAGAGCACAAATGAAAGCATTTAACTTAGACATGTGATGCCGCAGATAATAACTCCGTTTGTAGACCAGGCTGGCCTTGAACTCACATAGATCCCTCCTCCTCCTCTTCTCCCCCCCCCCCCCCCCCTCCCCCCCCCCCCCCATCGCTGCCTGGCTTTGAATACCTTTTATATACTGCCCCCTGGTGAATACAGTAGGAAATAGCACTATTATAATCAGAAAAAAAGAAGTCAAGGCATAGTGGTGTTTAACATATAAGGCAATGACCAAAGTATGATGGAAGTTCATTCAGGACAAATGTTTGAAACTCAGGATTGCAATTTTCACAGGATCTTTTACAAAAGTGGCTAAACTACACACCAGCCCATTACTGTCCACACCTGCAGCAGCACACAACACAGCTGGCTCCCCCACAGTCAGGCAAAAGGAAAAGGAAATGTTCCTTACTACTCTTGCTCAATGATAACCAGAGCCAAAGTGTAAAAAAGGAGGAGGGACAACTAATGCTCTCCAGTTTTCTCTCTCTACCCTCACTGACTAGTTTCAGGGTTTCCTTTAGGAAGTCAGGGAGGTGAGGAAGGAAGCATGGCACAGTCAATACACACCAGGCATTTTTCCTTTCTAAGGACGAACACCGTGAGAAACACAAAAAATTCTCATGAATTTTCCTTTCCCTACTGTGATAGGACTTTGAATATTTAGAGCGACTGCAGACCTTTAATGCCCTGAAACACGGCTGAAGGAGGGACGACTGAAGGTTCACATTTAAAAGCATGCTGATTTAAAAAAAAAAAAAAACCTAAAGGCATAGAGGATTGTACAATCTAAAGCCTCCATAGTCATTAAGAGGGGCAATGCCACCCCCAGCCAATGTCAACACCCAGAAAGAGACCCGGGTCTAATCTGCCAGGGCTGGCTTCATTTCCATTTGTCCCAGACAAGCATGTGACTGGCATGGTGACTGACACCTACAGAAAACAAAGCCTAAGGCTCTGCCCATCTGAAATGCCAAGCCAGCCACTGTGATAGTGTGGCAGAATATTAGTTTAAGGTGTGTGTGTGACTTTCGTTTATGCTGCATTTGTTTAACTCTGTGAAGCTGTGATTCTTTGCCCGCCTAAAACACCTGATGTTCTAATAAAGAGCTGAATGGCCAATAACAAGGCAGGAGCAAGGATGGACGGAGCTGGCAGGCAGAGAGGATAAACAGAAGGAGAAAAGAGGAAGGAGCAGCAGCAAGAGAACAAGGAGAGGAGGATGCTAAGGGCCAGCCATCCCGCCAGCCACGGAGAAGGAAAGTAAGAAACACAAAAGGCACTCGGGAGGCAGAGGCAGGCGGATCTCTGTGAATTCGAGACCAGCCTGGTCTACAAGAGCGAGTTCCAGGACAGCCTCCAAAGCTACAGAGAAACCCTGTCTCGAAAAACCAAAATAAATAAATAATAAATGGAGATGTAATTGACATTTAAAAAAAAAAAAAAAGCCCAGAGGGAAAAGGTAGACAGGTCAATTTAAAAACAACAACAAAAAAAGCTGGATAGCGCCAAGCTAAGGCCAGACATTTGGAAGTAATAATAAGACTCCATGTATGATTTTGGGGGGGGGGGGCTGGGTGGCAGGCCCCTCATAAAGGTCAAAGAGCCAAAAGAGCAAAACATCACACAACATGGTAGTACAAACTGTAATCCCAGCACTCAGGATGAAGGTTGGAAGGGCAAAAGTTTGAGGTGAGCCTGCACTATTTGGAGGTAATGTAAGTGTGAGGATTTAAATGTAATCATCTCACCAGAGTCTCGTGCTGAGCTTTCAAGGTTTTGATGACGCTCTCCAGGATCCTTCTGGGGTACTGCCTGCGTTTTGTTGCCACATCTACTATGAGCTCATCAAATTCATCTTCAAGAACTTTGATGTCAGAGTCTACTTCAGAAAAGGTCCATGTTAGTATAGAAACATTATACAGCTCAATTCACAAAATAACTAAAGAAAACAGTGTGGCAAACTAACGAAGCCCCCTCATTCCTGTACCAGTCAGTTATCAAACACCTCCGTGAACTACAAAGACAAGCAGAGCATGACCCCAAGGGGCCGGCAACTGTAACCTGACAAACGCAGCAGGGACATAAAGACAGAGGACACACAACAAGGAAACACCGCCGGTGGGAGTGAATGACTGAACAGAAACAACATCTGAGCTTGAAATCCAGGTGTAAACAAGGCACCGAATGAGAAGGGCCAGGGAGGAAAACACCTCTGGGGAAGGGAACTGTAAGGACACGGAGTCGTTGCAGACAGAGCATCCTACATGGGTTAACTGCAGGGGAAAGGGCTGAGGTGCAGCTCAGCTGCAGAGCATGGGCTTACAGCTCGCAGGGCCCTGGGTCCAGCCCTGCATCCTCTTCCCCGCAATTGTTAACTATAAAGGGCATCTCATACCATGGACAAGCTTTCACTTTATTTTGTGCCAACCCACCCTGTGACAACAGCAGTGAGAAGAATGCCAGATGTGACATCTGACTCAGGGGTGAGGGCATGAAAGGTATGGTGACTTGGGGACAAATGTTTTACCAGCTCTTTACTGTAAGAAAATGGTTCTCAAGTTCAAGAAGGAATGATTACCTGGGGAGTGTGTTACCAGTGTGTAAATCTGGACTCACAAGGTCTAGGATAGGGCACAGAAATGAAGCACCCTGAAGAAGTGAGTGCAGAGAGACGCACTGGGCCTCATCTAAAAAAATAACTTCAGAGTAAAAACCCTGGTTGGAGAAGGCAGCACTGTGAGGGATCTGCACTGAATCCCAGTACTGAAAGCAAACAACTAAGAAGCACAACGCTAAGGACCCAAGTCTCGGTTAGATGGCTTGCACCCTGAGCTCTGTTATGCCGGTCTAGTCTCATTGACTAAAGCTTTACCAGGGAGAAGCCTGACTGGCACCTGTTTCTGAAATGTTCGGCAAGCTGTCTGGTGTATGTCTGCATACGTACGTCACTTCTACACTTCGAAGTATAGTAGGTGTGGCCTCTCACTCCTGTAACAAACCTAGTCCACTCAGGGCTTCTCTGGAGGACCTGAGGAACATGTCTCACTTGGAACACTTAGTGAAATAAGCAGCTTTAAATTTTATTACATCCTTTTGAAAAGCAGTCACTGGCCTGCAAAGAACAGGGCACGATTTTATAAAAGTTCTTTTTAGAAACTTATGTGTGTGTGATGGGGATGGCACACATGCCACAGCCTAACTCGAAGGAATCGGTTCTTGCCTTCCACCTGCACCCAGGTTTGCACAGCAAGCACCTTTCTCAGCTCAGCCATCTCATCAGTCAGGGAAATCTTCTATGTAGGAAAATGGTTTCCTAGCGCCCTCAAGGGGTAGAATTTGTAAAACCACAATGTACAAACAAATGGGTGTCTATTTCTAAAAGCAGACTTCTGCTCTCAAGGAGCTGCCCTTATAAAGACTGGGGTATACAGCACAGACACAAGACCTACCTGACATAAGTGAGTCCGTAGGCTCGTTCACCAGCACTGAACACACACACACACACACACACACACACACACACACACACCACTCCTGTGATTCCTCCAAGACCACGTGGTAAAGTACAAATCCCTTACAACTTACCTTTCTTGACACATTTGCTATTGTTTTTCCCAACTCACTACTGGCTTTCCAAACATTTCACTCCTTTGTGACTTTTTGTATGCTTTGTTTCAAATAAACACCCATTGAAAACCTATTCGGTGTGCAAAGTACTTCTAGCTAATTTTTTTTCCGGAGCTGAGGAACAAACCCAGGGCCTTTAGCGCTCTACCACTGAGAGCGCTAAATCCCCAACCCCAGCTAATTTTTTTAAAAAAATATATCCCCTACTAATCACCAATTATTGGGTTAATATTTTACAAAACAGATGCTGTTGGTTTTTATCCATTTAATGTGTAAACCCAAAATATGTTTTGGTAATTTTAAAAGACAGTGATATAGAAGCCAGTGAGATGGCTAACATGGTCCCAGGTAACAGACAAGAAAGTCTTCTGGGCAAAGCACTCTCTTACTGTGTAGAAGAAACGTTATAGTCACTAGAGTTGCTGGTAGGCCTGTAATCAGCTCAAATGACTGGACAATGTGAACCCAAAGCAGTGAGTGACATCAGTGATGCTCATCCCTGAGTGATGTTCCCAGAGGGACAGATGGCACACTGCGCTTCTGGAGAGTTCTGCAGACACAGGGACACCTGCCTCACTTCCCAAACGGACCACTCCCTGTCCACTGATGTCCCTTCCTACACTGCCCTTTCTTCCGTTAGCACTTTGCCTTCTTTAGACATGCCAGCACCACGAGTGAGGCACAGTCATGTCTAAGCCAGCACTAGCGGCACTCACTTTTGATCCCAGCACCTGGGAGGCAGAGGCAGGTGGATCTCTGAGTTTGAGGCAAACCTGGTCTACAGAGTTCCAAGATAGCCATGGCCACACAGAGAAGCCCTATCTCAAAAACAAACAAACAAAGGTACAATCAAGTCTTTGGAGTAAGCTAACAGTTTTAGAAGCCATCTACAAATCTGTAACACCCTTTGCAGGATACTCACAGAGTTTAACTTTACACATAAGAACACTTCATTATCCATTCTAAGTGTCATCTACGCACTGCAGAAACATAAACCAGGCTTATGAGGAAATGCAGGGGTTTTCTGAGCCTATTTCTTTAACTGGGGATAATTCTACAACATCTCTGACAGCCCTACTGCAGAAGCACCCGAAGAGCAGACGAAAGACCTTTCAGGACACCAGACACCAGACAGGACAGATCAAGGTACCCACCAAGTTTCTTCTGGGCTACGACTTCAGTAATCTACACTAATTTCTTTTTTCCCATAATACTTTAAATATGCTTTAAGATAAATGATATAGAAGCCAGTGAGATGGCCAAGCATAAAAAAAAACGCCTGCCACCAAGGACCTGAGTTTGACCCTGAAGTCCTCATGGTGAAAAGAAACAACTCCTGAAAGTGTCCTCTGACCTCCACTGACATGCACAACTCCCTCCAAAACAATGTTCATTAAAGAGAGAGTGTGTCTTAGTCAGGGTTCTATTGCTGTGAAGAGACACCATGACTAAGGCAGCTCTTATAAGAGAAGGCATCTAATTAGGGGCTTGTTTAGTTTCAAAGGCTTAGTCCATTATCATCTTGGCAAGGAGCATGGGGACATGCAAGCAGGCACTGAAGAAGCTGAACACTACAAGCAGAGAGAGAAAAATCCACAAGCACAGGGAGAGACAGAATCCTGATCCACAAGCAGAGAGAGAGAGAAAGAGAGAGAGAGAGAGAGAGAGAGAGAGAGAGAGAGAGAGAAAAGACACTGGGCTTGGCATGGGCTTTTGGAACCTCAAGTCCACTCCCAGGGACACACTTCCTCCAACAAAGGCCACACCTCCTAATGCTTCTCAACAGTGCCACTTCCTGGTGACTATGAACTCAAATACATAACCCTATGGAGGCCATTCCTACTCAAACCACCACAGAGAGATAAGAAAACAAATTATAAAATAGCATTCAAAATAAAGTTAGCTGCAAAAACAAGCTCAGAAATTAATGACAGAGGAAGAGTCAAGCCACATACCCATAAGACAGTGGTCGGCAGCTTCCTGCCAGGCTTGTCCGTTGATGCTGACATTCTCCTCCACAGCAGATTCAAAAGTCTGCAATAAATTTACAGCAGCCACGTCAGCAGAAGGGAGTCTAAATCCTGAATTCAAACATTTTAGTAAGATAGTAACGGATCTCTGTGGAACAGAATGGAAATAATGAAACACTGAGGAAAAAGATAAAGTCCAAGTTAACTGTTAGGAGAGGACTAAATACCCTTACCACACATTAGTGACTGCACAGGTTCTATCAGTGACAACTTATCAGAATGGCCACATAGACAAACCAGAACACAGAGTGGTAAACTGTAAGACTCTAAAGAAGGTTTAGGCTCACCACGTGCTCTCCAAAATAGTAAGTTATTTCCAGAAGGGGTTCAGACAGATTCGGAATTCACGGAGGACCTAATAAATGCTATTTTTTGAAAATATTTTTAATGAGCATGCCTCTTGTATCACTTGTGTAATTAAAAATAAATATGAATAAATGACTTATAATTATGAGTCATAGTACAGACCCTATACTAGTATCTTACAAAAAGGGCTACAATACAGCTCAGTGGACAACACTTTACTAGTGTGAGCAAGGCTCTGCATTCAATCCCCAGCACTAATGGAGAAAAGGAAGATTTAATAGGATAAGATTCTTACTGTGTTAAGCTCTCAAAGATTAGATGAGAATAAAAACTGTCTTTGAAATGATCACTGCAGCTTCACCAACCATTGATGAACATGCTACTATACTATTCAGCTTTACTTAGAGGCATATCAACATTGTCAAGGCTTCTCAACAAACCATTACTTTTCATTCCCTTTCCGATCTCACCCAACAGGATATAAGAGGTTAAGTCTTATAGGTGTTCTAAATTACTTAGCATTTTTTCTAGGATCAGACAAACCCTCGTATTTACAGCTGTCTCCCAAAATAACTACTAAAAATGTTGAGATGTTGCCTTGACTCCAAGGAGGGAATAACATAGTAGCCACCGTATACTGTACACCGAACACAAAACGGCAACACAGAATTACAATCTGAGTTGGGTTTCTTCATTATCCTTTTACTTAACCTCTGTCTGGTGCATGCTACAAGGACACTTGCCGCTGAGTACATCTCTGGACCCTCCTAATTCTTTTTTTTTCTTTCTTTCTGAGACTGATAACCTCTATTTTTACTCGGCACTGTTGTCATCCGGTCACAAAGGAGCTGCACGACAAGCTTGAACGCAGTCCCCTACACACAGACTGTGCATCTATCTGTTCCAGAGGCCGTGACCCCTCGACTTCTAGTTGTCTCTCCTCAGAAACCACCATCTTCGGGGATTTGCAAAAATACAGGCGACAAGGGAAGAGGGTTACGAGGCCAACGGGGTAGGGCGGGGTCGGGGTGTGTCTGCGCGG